CGAGTGATCTTACTATTTTTGTGTGAGCCATTCCCAAGGGAAAAGGACAGTTTTATGTTTGATTTCTTGAGTATCATGTTAATAGAGCCCCCAGTTCTGTAGCTTTTGTTCACTGAAAATTCCATCAAGAGTTACTTGTGGTTTTATTTTAGAAGTCAATGTTTATAAACCTTTTTCGTGTCAGTTCTACCTATTGCAAAATATGCAGTCATGACTGATTGCAGACAGTAGTAATAATTAAGGATAAAATAGTGTCCAGCCTCCATAAATATCAATCTCTGGTTTTACTGGTGAATGACTTGCTAGGCCTTTGTATTAATAAGCTTACAGATGCTGATTTCTATGAGGTTATTCATGTAGAAAATTTCAAACTGGATTTGATTTCCCTCTCTGTCCCACACTGTGCAAGCAAGATCACTCTGGCTTATCACTCATTTGCCCAATTTTCCTTGATGAAAGAGTGAATAGTCTGTAGGATACTTAAAAGTTCAGTTTCTGGCTCTTGAAAATACTAAAACAGTAATTACTTGGCCTTAAGGACTTCTATGAATAGATGTAGGTTTCCAGATTCATTACAATCTGGAAATTGTAATGAATGTAATCTTCCTTCTGAGAAAAGAGAGGCCTCCAGGCAGCATCCCAATCATTCTAATCAGATTGCAATCATTTGACCAATCCTACGTTGATTATTAAATGAATTAAGAAGCATGCAGGGGTCACGTAGGGCATGGCTCATTTGTTTTCAACAAGTTATCAAACTTTGAGTTTGTGATTTTACTTCATTTGCCCTTCAGGCTCATTATCTCGCCACTAGTTGCCAAACCACCTTCTGCTTTGCCACTTGGATGATCCTATTTGGGGTTGTGATCCCTGGTTTGAGAACCACTGCCTTAATGTCTGCACATAATACTATTTTTAAGGGGTCTTTGATGAAAAAGAAACTGTAAACATTTACCTTTTTGGTGTAACAAGTTAGACAGAAAACACATCTAGCACTCTATTTCTTGAGCCATCAAGCACTGTAGATAGGCCTCTTGTCTTCAAAAAGTCTTAAAGACTACAATAAACATCCAGTATGTTTGCATAAGAAATCACCCACAGTTCAGTTTCCTTTTAGTTTCAAGCAGCTTCATAACAATTATTCTATTGCGTCATTTGTCTTTTTAGTGTATGGACTGTCAGTGACTGACTGATTTTTCTGACTGTCAGTGAATAGTTCCTTTATCTTAATCAAATAGCAGTTTCAGAGGCAAAAGTATTTGGGGCCACCTTACCCCAGGCAAGCCTTAGCACATATTTGCTGTTCTGACCCAACATTCTGTCAGTGCCTCTCTCAAGTAGGATTATTTAAAATTAATATAGTTCTATAACCAAGATATATTAGTATTACTTTTGTATTTTAAAGCTTTCTGTGGCTTCTTATGTCCATCCATGCACACTTTAGTTTGGATTATAATTGTTCCTTTTCATTCTTTGTGAAAAATAACAAAGTTATTACTGAAACTTCTAGACCAAGATTTTATTACTGCAACCTTTACAAGCTTCTGAATTTGCGCTCCCATATTAGGAAATGCTGCTTATATTTTCTTTTTATGTGTGTTGACTATTTTTTGTAATTCAGTCATAGGACATTATTATTTTAAAAGGGAGAATAGCAGTAAATAGAGAAAACAGTATTTTTTTTTTTTAAAACATTACTGTCATATTTAAGTATAAAACCATTAACTACCTAAGATATGTTTAAAGATAATAATGCATGTTTGTGAGATCAAGGCCCAAGTTCAGTATTATTGCATTGCTCAGAACACAGATCAACAAATAACTACCACATGCAGCTGAGGTTCCCTCCCAAGTCTTGTAGTTTGAATGACATAAACCAGTGCTTTTAAGATTAATATATTTCTAGCCCCGCATGGATGCAATGTCTTAACATTACCTTTTATATTCTTTGGTTTCTTAGCAACTCTTAACACTCCTTTTAAGTAAAATTTTGTTTATTTAAGAATAACTTGGCTTCTTTTTATAGCTTTTCCTAATATTCAGAATTGACTGTTCTGCATTACACCCTACTAGACTAACTATTAAAAAAAAAATTTATTCTCATATATAATAATACGATACCAGTCATTGCTATTTTTAAGGTAAAGTACTCAATTAAATCAAAACAGTTGGAATTTTACTAACATTGCCATCAACATATGCCAATTATATCTTCTATAAAAACTGGATTTTTCTCCCTATTTTTAGTTCACCTTGCTTATCAGCTATTTCCTTCAACTCATCTGAAAAACCCCCAAAAGCTAACTCCACAAGTTCAGACTCTGGAGTTTACTGAATACTCTTTTCCACTCTGTTTTGAATATGTAAACCATTTCTAACATTACGGAACTGTTTTAGAAAAGAACTATCTTTAAAAATATTTTCATAAGTGAAATTTAAATCAATGATATTTTCAGGATGCAAACTAGAGCTGTTATGAAGTGGATCCAATCTCTGTATCAGTATCAGTAACTTGGTATTCCATGCATGATGTTTATGAGAGAAATAACTATTTGTGTACAAGCCATGAACATGCACTCATTTCGAGCAAATGGAAGATACAAAGCAGGTCATCTATAAAGCACATTAAAGCCTTTTCCTTTAATTGTCCTGATTAGCTTCTTGGAGTATCAAATATTCATAGAAGTACTTGATAGCTTTTTCTAAATACCAAATAAACACTGCATTTAAGAAATGAAAATGAAGACTTATACTTTATCTTAGGGCTTCACATCTCCCCCAGTACTGTCAAAAATGTACTCTAGGTTCCAAAAGCCTTTCACTTCCATTTCCAAAACATAAAAAACAATTATATCTCTCAAACAATATTTTTTCAACAAATTTACTTTTCTAATGCAGAATCTTAAAGAGTGCCCCCATCTTTTATATCAACATATCATGACACCCACTTAATCATATAACCCTTCTAAACGTAAAATAATTTCACCTCAGTATTACCATGGTCATGTGTCTCAATAAATTCCTCGTCCCTTACATTTTATCCCTGTTTTTGATTTAGTAAACCTGTGTATATCAGCCACGCATGTCTGGTAGTGATGATATAAACCTGTCAGCTACGGGGAAGCTCCGTGAAATAGTCATCACTCTTCCTGAAATAAACTATAGCTTTCACAGACTTCTGGAAAGTGGATACTGACAGAAGTTATTGCGACAATAGGCTGAGTATCCTGCATTATAGCAGCAGGTGCTTTTTGTGTTTCCACTTCCTCTGGACCCTTCATCATGCCTGTACGAAATTCACCTTTCTATCCTCAAGCATGGAATTCACCTATGGATTCATCTATTAGCTAATAGGTTGTACTAAAAGTAAAATACCTTGGTGATTCTCAAATCATGCTTTGGAATTTAAAAAAAAAAATAAACTGTTTTAAACATGTCTTTTCACTTAAATTGCTTTTGTTCACAGTGCCCCCCTCTCACTCTCCCCCAGACCAGCAATAAAGTTTGGGTTACGTCATTTGTAGATTCATATGTCAAGACTTTCCATAGGTCTTCACCTAGAAACAATTACATTCTTTGTAGATCTGCAGCCAAAAGAAAACTTGATACGTATATCACATATGTACACGAGCTGTATAAACTACTTGTTAGTCATCTGTCAAAACACTGACAAGCAGGAACTCAGGACTATATCCCCGTCTTTATGAGCAGGAGATGTTTTAAAGCCATTTTAAAACAAGATAGCTAGAAGTAGTTTACTTACTTTGCAAAGTGTTTTACTCTATATAATACTTTTTCCATACTAATAAACGACAACTCTGCCTGCAGTGGTCTTACATAATCATTCTAGCTTTTTATTTTCAAAAAATGAAGGCAGCATTCTGCTGCAATTCTCTTACCACCAAGAATCAAGAATTTCCATTCAGATCTCACATTGTTGTTATACATGCCTGTTATTGAGAAAATGTTTTGGTGCCATGGTCACAAAAATCCGCTGAAGATTATAAAAGTTTTTCCTTTTTTCCAGTCAGCTTTACTAACTGTTGTTATACACGTATGTATATTTGATCCATTTGCATATAAAATCATATATACACCCAATGAAGTTTTAACAGGAAAAAACTGTACTTACAATATTTGCAGTGTTACTTTTTACCATTATAAGGTGCCTAGGTATTGATACTCATAGCTCTTCATAAAGCCATAGAACTTGGAGGGAAAATCAAGTCTTTGGTATACCAGAAAAAGATATATAACCATAGCCATCTTTAATCAATTATATATAAACCCAAACACCCAACTCAACCTAAAAAAAAAATCAGTTGAGATTACATTTATTCTTCTTTATTAAAATTTCCACTGAGTATCTTACTTCCTCCACTGTTAACTAAGTTAAGAAGCTGCAAAGACTATATCTGCACTGGAGGCAAGGCAGCCCACTTTTCTGGTTGGCAGAACATGTTTCCCAGGCAAAATGGCTTATTTTACATAGCTTTTGTGAGTACAAAGGATGCTGGAGTGCTAACCCTTTCTACCTCCAGCTGAGGCAACTTGCTGCTATTGCAGACGTGGACACTGTTTGTTTCAACACCTATATGGCATGCCCTTTCTGTCACCTGAATACCAAACACTGCTTTGATAAGGAATGTAGAATTCTGCAGAACTGCTGATCAAATGTATTTTTACCATTTTTTACTTTTTTTAATGCTGCAAAAAGCAATTTTCAAAGCAGAAAAGCAAAAAGAAAAAGGGCCCTGGCATTTTTTGCATGCTTCTAAAAAAGTGTTTACCATCTATTCCTCTCTAATCAAAATACTTACATTTTTGCCGATAACTACAGGCTCTTCTGAACTTTGGACAAGAACAGGCAAAAATCTTCCCAAAAAAAATCTTTTCGATGCCATTTATTTCTCTTTGATTTTGTTTTAAATGAAGATTCTATCATTAATCATATAAATCACAAAAGAAAATAATTTGCACATAGAAAAAGAATTACATACCTTATATTGGATAAGGAGACCATAAACCAAAATATTTTTCTTTTTCACTTCCCTTGCAAATTTCTTGATCCTAGTTAGTTCTTCCATCCCAATGCTGAAAGAAATATTTTCTGAAATATCCAAGTGCACCTGCAAAGGAACAAATAAAAAAAAAACAAAAAATTCCACTTCTTCCATAGTGTGTTATTTTAGACTGCCATTTTTTAGTATCTCATTTTTATGTGTTAAGCACACATAAAAATACAGGCTAACAAAGTTTTTCTTAGTTAGCTTCTATTACTATTGAATTCCACTATTTATATATTTAGTGACATGAAAATTATTTCTTTTCAAATTCCCATGAAACCAATACGCCAGAACACATCAGAACACAATGTTCTAACTGCATATTAAAATTATTTAATTAAATCAGAAAACAAACAACATTCTTTTCTAAGCTCTAATCTAACTTTCACAGAATTCACTACCTTTTCAGTATAGCATATTAGTTGCCTATATTAGATTAATTTCAAGATAACACTTCAAGTTTAAAAAGCAGAAACTACTTCAAAATAAAGTAGGGATATAGCTGTCCTGAGCTGTTGGGCAGGGAAAGGCAGGTCTCATATCCAGCAGGGATGCTGCACCAACATGGTGGGTCTTCCAGGACCTGAGCTGGTATCTCCAGGGAGGTATCAACTTTTTTTTTTAGGCTTACGTGTTCCACAGTTTAATCAGTTTACTTTACAAAGTTTCTATTAACTGTAGAAACCAAAATTAAGGATGATGATTTGTACATACGAACTTGCAGCATCTATTAATAGCAGAAATACCTTTCCCCTTAAAAGAAAGAGAAAATATTTTTCTGGCTGAGTGATTCCATCAATATAAAACCTATCTGTAAGTACTACAGAGAGGTAGGAGCATAGAGGTAGCCCCAGAGATCTGTACTTGGGAAAATTATTTCAAGTTCCCTTCGTACCTTATGTTCAATTTATCCTGACAGATAACAGATTTTTACTCATTTTCCCTTGCAAACCTTTTTAAAAAGCTGTTTACTGTCTAAGTGCATATTCACCAGGAGCAAAGCTATTGTCTTCTACTACACAGGCAGAGATAACTTTCAAACACTTATTATTTTGTTATTTTTTACCCAAAACAAGGCTAAGTACATAGCTCATTTACAGCTATTTACAAGAAATTTTAAAACCTATTATTTTGAGAGAACCTAACACCTATTTACCATTAACCTGTTCCACAGCTTTAAAAAGAGATTTTTCTCAAACTTACTTTTGTACTGAAAAGCGAACAGTGGCAACTACAGAGCTGAAGTACTAGCATTCCTTTCTTTCTAACCCCAAGTAAGAACAAAATAAAAATAATATCCATTCATAGCATCTACAAACGTGAACACGTATTACTCAGAAAAGTCAGTTTAAGAATATGATTCTTCTGGTTATAGCAGAGTTGGAGAGGATACTGGTTTGATGCAGACAAATAATTGCATGAATTTACCTCTATGCTTCCTATTTCTCCTGTAACATTAATCTTCCCTTTTCTGCTATGTCCAGATACAGTAGTCCAATTGCTGCTTCAGCTTACAGATGCCCCAAAAAACTCCCGTCAGGCACCAGGATAAAGGACAGACTGCAATCTGTGGCAATTTATAGGCGGGAATATGGACAGAAGTCATCATGTCCAGTGCAAGCTCATCCTTTTACTGGGATAATTCTCCCCACGCTGGTTAAACAGACAATCTGGCACAATAATAACACCTGTCATTTTTATCACTAAAGAAGCTGAATATCGGAAGGAAAAATAAAACTCTCTTAATTATCAGATTGTTAAGAAAAAGTTACACATGTCCTGAAATCAAGGAACAGACAAGCACTTTCCAATTACACAAAAGTCTACATTAGACTGTTCCTGATCATGAATTAGGAGAATGGAAGCAGTTAGCTGCTCTCCTCATTTATCCTTTCAATTCTTCACTATCAGGAACAGTTTTATTTTTGAAAGTAGAAAAGAATAATGTTTCCCGTGCAGCTAGTACCTAAAACCTATGCATTTGAATGTCATCATATTGCTTAAAATTGAGTCACATCTGCCTAAGAAATATTAATGCCCTTTTACATCAAAACAGTGTGTCTTACAGGACTTCTCACTAACAATGCATTTGGGTTTTATGTTAAATGAAGTATACAGCGAAGAATAAAGCTGAGGAGAATCCCACTCATAAGCCTTAGTGAAGAGGACACCCAACACTGAATTTAATTAAAGACTGCTGAAGGAAGTTTCTATCCCCCAGCCATACCATCTGTAATGAATTTTAGGGATCAGAAGTTTAAAGGACTTAAATAGTTCCCAGTGATTAATATGAGACAATGATTTGTTTAGCTAATTCTTTAGTCATTTAAAACATACTTTCCAGTTCTCCTATTTTTTCCTTCTTGTATTTCTAAAAGATAGTGTGGTAACTCCATAAAATTTGAAAGTGCAGCATAAAATGCCTTTTTATAGTTAGGGTACTTCATTTTTTAAAGATACTTTTAACAAATATACGTGTATCTGTTTTAAATGTTAGTAACTGCTTCCACCTAGTTATGAGACTTTTCTCCCACTGTCTAGTTTTGGGAAATTTCAAGTAGTTGTCAGCTACATCAGAACAACTGATGGCTCTGGAGTAAAGGGATTAAATGTATCATTTTCTCCTGAGGCTATATTAAAAGGTGTCCACCTAAATAATTTGTGCATGCTGCAGGCTGCTCAAGCAAGTACACTTTCATTAAAAAAGGTGCTGGATTCTACAATGACTTCAAGATCTAGTATCCTAGGGACAAAACCTGAGTTTCATGGTGAGCTTGTATAGGTGTGAATGCAAATAATGCTTATTTCTCAGGAAATATTAAGTCCAGAATATTTATAGCTACAATTATTAAAACAAAGCTCTCACATTCCATGTGTCACGCTAAAAAAGCACTTAATTCAAAGCCCGGAGTAGAGATTAGCTATGAACCGAGCACAAAATAAGCATGCTTTTAAGACCACAGTATGACCTGGTTGATTAACAATTCCAACTTTATCTGCACACCCCCAAAATTTAACACAGACAGAAATGTTTTTTTATATTCTTGATAAAGGACTAATGAAAACATTCTCAGTCCAGAGAAGAGCATTCTGCACATCCAGTAGCCTTGTAAATGGGCAACAGAATTGGAGGCATGTCATTACTCTGATTATCAAAGGCAGAAATAATTTATCTTTAAAAATTCAGTAATATTAAAGCTCTAACCTGAACTTCCTCAGAAACAGGGTCAAGAAAAAAAGTCTAGAAATAAAGTGCTAAATATTGATGTTCATAGAAACACAATAGCTCACTCCAAGACAACAGCATACAATAGGTAAGGATGTAACCTTTTTTATTTGTAAAAGTAATTGTCCTTCATGATATCTCATTTATTTGTTAGCTCAGTAATGAAATTTCATCACTTAAATTTCAGATTAAGCCTAAATTTGAGAAGTAAATGCTCAGTTTTACCTCCAGATCACTAGACTATGCACTTCAGAAACTATTCAGGCCCCATGTAAAATAACTATTCATTCCTTTTTACAGAGCTTCATATATGGAATTATATTTTAACATCATAATATGTTATCTTGTGTTATTGCTGGAGAGTATAATAAATGTAGTCCAGAGGCACACTCCTTGTGACACATGGCATTAATGACACTCATTCCACCCAATACTTCTCATCCCTACCTATTAAACCAGAAAACATGACAAAATTAACTGGATCTGGTTACACTGCACGGACACTTTCAAATCTACTCATATTTTCTCCTTTTTAACAATCTGAGTAAAATAAGTCATGTACACCTTCAGCTGTTGTCCACATGAACTGTTAAATTATTCTGGCAGTGATATTCAAATAATGAGAATTTCAGCCAAAAATACACTTTAAAACTTTTGCCACATACCAGAATAGATGTTTCAATCTTACAACATCTCAATAGTGAAGTATGTATTAAAGTTATATTGAAAAGTACTTCAAAGTTAATTTTTAATACTTGGACCACAAAAGCCAAAATAATTTTAAAACTTTGAGTAAACCACCCAGCATATAAAAAAATAAAGCCACTTAATTCTGTTTCAACTGAGCATTCAAGCAGACTACATCATTTGCAGCATCCCCAGCAGAGATGGAGCACAACAGCAAAGCAAGAGTTAACAGTTCAATATGACTAGCCACAATGAGTCTTTCACAGAAATATATAACTAATAAATTGTCATTTGCTAGTGTTGGTTTATTTCCTGACAGCATGCAGTACATTTGCTCAAGTGCAAATAATGCTCTTTACAGTCCAATTTACAGTTCAAATTTACAATTTTATTGAGAGTTAGCAGCAATTTAAACCTAGTCTAACATTTAAAAATATTCCATTAGAAGTTTTCTACAGTAACTTACAGGAGTTACCTACCAAAATAACGACAACTGGATATGAGAGAGGAATATTTGATTTTTCCAACATATCCACTAGTTGCTGGGTTTCCTGAATGGCATACTTTTTATCCTAAATGAAAATAAATGTTTAGAATTACTGAAAACATCAAACAGTGGTTTCATAAAAATGGAATTCAAAGATCTGTTATTTACCAAAAGAGATACATCACTTATTTGGTTTTGGGGGTTTTTGTTTGGTTGGCTGGTTTTAATATATTTGTAATGCTTTCGTCTGGTAAAAATTATAGCTGTTAAAAAAAATTGAGATTAATAATATTACCATTAAGAAATATATATGTAAAACAAGCTTGACTGGTCTCAGATATGATTCATCTAAAACCTTCCCATTCCCATACAGGGACCCAAATACAGATTGCATGGCACGTACATGTCCAAAATGGGAAACACTAATTTAGACCACAGTAGCAATGCAGTTAGATGACTACACATATGACATACCTCTTCTTGAGACAATTCACTTCAATACAGTGTCTATGAAAGGAAATTTTAAACTACTTTCAGTTGCATCCCTCTTGTTCAAGAATTCATGGCTGGTTTGACAACATACTGATGGACATACAGAACCACGAGAGAAAGAACGGACCAGTATCTCAAAGGTCTAGTTCGGTGCACATCAGAAACACCAAACATCAGAATGGATACACCAGGAGGACAGAAATAACAAACAACTTATTATTCAAATATGTAATTATTATTTACCATTACTAATAAGTTTAAGTGCAAAACTAAAAGCATGCATCCTTACTACTTACATTTACACAAATAAAATTGTAGCACTGTCCTGAAAAGATGTTTTGTAGATGGCTATCATTTTTGCTTAGACATGTTGATACAGCTTCAACCTGATTAGAAAAAATAAAATTACCACGTCACAAATTCGACTTCAGCTTTAACTATCTGCTACAGCTTCCACCATTATGGCAGAATTTATTCATTCAAATGACTTAAAACTGGCAATTATTATTTCCACTATGAGAATTAAAAATTGCTCAAATTTTTAGGTGACTCAACAGTGAAGCATGGAGTCCAACACCCTGCAGAGTTTTCTGCAAGTTTTTGCTGAAGCATACTACTATGCTGGAGCCATTCCAGAAACAGCCCTGGAAGTATCAGACGCTAGAGCTGCTGCCAGGGTTAGGATGTTCAACTGTTCCCAGAGATGAAAACACTGTTCATAGGATCAAGTCGATGTAATAATTTTAGACCCCCAATTCTGAGAAACACTCTATAATATTCAAATACATATATATTTCGTCTTCATGCAACTAAAAATAAAATAAAGAAGTACATATGAAAGACCAGGTGCACAGGTATTCTAAATGAGTCTTGTCATTTGCAGAATCCTAGAATTTCTCCTGAAAATAATTTCCTCAACAAATACTTTAAAATACTGTCCTAATCACAGACATACTTATTTTGCAACCTTTAACTATAATACCAGCTAAGAAATTATCTTATCCTAATTAAAATAAAAAGTAGATTCTACTACATTATGAGCTTCAGGATTGCCTTGAGTAAAACAGCAAACCAGGTAGTAGAAGGGGAATTTGTTCCCTAAAAGAAGATAACACTTTGAAGCCAATAAAAAAAACGCTTGAAAATAAGGCAAAAAAGAAGATCATGTTGCTTCTATTAAACCAGCAAACCTCACTGTTCCACTGCTCAAATGAGCTTTATTTCTGCCCAGAAGACATACTGTATATAGCAGCAAACAACAGAAGCAATACCCTGCTGTGTTCCCTCGAAATGTCACTTAATCCACAATCCAACAGAAGTACCAAATACAACATTTAAAAAGGCTTTGCGCTGTTATCTAGAGCTATATTTGTTTATTTTTGTAATACTTGGGGAGCTAACTTGTTTGCAAAGGAAGGTGGTTTGAAACCCAAAAGCTGATATTTATGCACTAAAGATTTTAGAAACATTTTGGGCTGAAAATTTGATTAAAAAAGTCACAGAAGGCAAGAATTACTTAAAATACTTTAATGCAATACTCCAAGGCTCTCCTGGCTTGAGCTTCTGCAGAAGTAAAATCAGAAATCCCCAGTACCTTTACAACCTTGCACATACTTAGATGAACAGGAGCATACTGCATGCCAGAGTCTTTTCAGAAGGTAAATAGAACATGACTCAAGTGAGAAGGCCTACTTTTTTTTTCTTGAGATATTACCATACATGATGCTTAAGTATTCCTGAACATTTAAAAAATAATCTAGCATATCAGAGTTTTGATTTAACTTGAACAATTGGATAAAGCAGTACACTGAGCCTTTGTTTTACAGCCATATTATCCAGCAAAAATTAAATCAGATTTCTCTCCTGGAAAAGTAAGCACAGCTGCCTAACTAGAAGCTTCAATACATCAACTAAAATTGATTCTTATTCTATTTGGTATGTTAGTATCCCATGCAAAGGTATTTTTTTAATTAAAATTAATATTAATCAAAGTTATCAGCTACTTGAGAGAGCAAAAATTACCTGAAAATACCACCTCAGTAAAAAGTGTTTGTCACTTAATGTTTCAGTGTTTGAATAGAAAGAAGTATACGGATTTGCTCAATCACTTCTGGTTGTTGTAGCAATTGATATTCAGCTAGTGTAAACAAGCAGAGATGGTAAGTTTTTATGAACATGAAGATAGGAATAATAAATATGTTTAATGTTTTTCTACTTATCAGATGCCCTGTGCTGAAGGTTCAACTTTACTCAACATCCACTTTCATAAAATCAAAAAATAATACCTGGACATTGGGTATCTGTAAAACTTAGTTAAATTATATCAGAATTTAAAATCACAATTAATACCAATCCAGCAGACAGACAATGCAATGATTAAGAAATTAGTGAATTTCTACTAGTGAAACACTACTCCATTTCCTAATTGAAAACAACCAAATATTTGGATGTACTGCTTGTGGATATTTATCCAGTCACAAAAATAACACAAACAACATCCAGTTGATAACACTTCATGTGACAGGAGCACCTTGTCACTGAATAAGCAGGAGTACATAATTTCCAGCCACAGAAGAAAACACCTTCAGCTCCCATTTAGGTTTGCCTGCTTCAAAAGAAAGGGCTAAATAACAAACTTAAGGAAAGACTCAACTTATGTCTTTCACAGTAAGATATTGTCTGCAAAACATTCATTTATTAGTTATACAGTTTACTGTAACACTGATTCTTACTTATTATTCTTACTTACTTATTTCCTTACTCTTAAAGTACTTTGCAAGCAATAACTGTTGCCTTAATTTTATTTTTTTTTTTAGAAAAGCTTTTATTTTCATTTTCTTTATCTCATCAGTTCAACTTTTAGGTCTTTTTTCCCTGTTATTGGCATTATCATGTTATTGAAGTCTCTCTCAGAAATCCCTCTAACAATTTCTTTTGAATTCTTCTTTAAGGATGCATCTAGAAGTTAACAGATATCTTAAGAGTAAATATGGTTACTACTAAGAACTACAGTGTCAGAACTATCTAAAAGGTTAAAATATTGACCATAGTTAGTTTAAACCTCAGATAATATGTACTCTTCTGAATGATTCCCAATTAGTGTCTTATTTAGATCAATTACCCTCCAATTAGCCCTTTGAAAAGGCCCAGCTTTCAGTGCAGTACGTTTAACTTACTTAAAATAATTATCACATTGTACAGAGTCAATTCTCTCTCTCACAAGGTTACTGTGCTTCACCTGAGAAATCATAAGCCAGTGGATATATTCTAAGGTGCTTCAAATTTAGAAGTTCTGTATATTGGTAAGCTTAAAAATCAACTCTGAGATTTTACTGTTTAAAAACAAGACACTTAATACATAAATATTACTTTTTATAGATTTTTCAATCTAAGGGTTCATAAAATGGATGACTAAGGATGTTTCAAGGAACAATACAAGACAGGGATCTTGATGGTGTTCTTTGGCAGGTGTCACTTTGCAGGAATGGTTTGAACATGTTGAAGAGAAATTTAACAATCAACTTCATTATGAAGAAAGATAACACGGATCAAAAGAGAGAAGAACAGTGCTAGAAATCATCAACTAAATAAACTGATTTAATAGAGCCATCAAGAAAATTCAGTCCCATACAGTAGGAATCTTCTCATTTTATGCTCTCATTACCTTGTTTATGGTCATTTTACGTGTGTTTTATTCAAATGCACCACAGGTTCAGGTGCCTGACCAACCCAACAATTAACTAGTTTTGCAATGAAAATTTGGAAACGTAAATTTTAACTAGTCTTGGTACCAGTCTGATTTGAGGTTGCTAAGTTTGGAGTCACCATGTTGGTTATTCAAACAGAATGCATTCTTTGACTTTTACTGGCTTGGATGTGTTTCTCATGGTATGATTAAAGTAGTTATATGCAAACATAATATATAGATATAGCTAAGTCAACACTTAAAAGAAGTACTTTTTTTCTAATATGGGTAAGTGATGTCTTCCTAGTAATTGCAGAATAGTTTAAACGGAGAGAAAAAAAGAAAAAATAGCAATGGATCTGGTATCAGTGAAATTGAAACATACTTCTGCTCCATTATACAGTTATTCAGAGAAGAAAAGATCTTATTCAACTCTGCTAATGTTTTGTACTTCTAAATGTAGACATTTAATAGATATAAAGCATGATTTTCCATACTAAATACCATTTTTTCCAAACAAAAACTGCAAGTACAATGTCAAATGACATTTCTAGATATAAAATAGCAATACAGTTTGCTACAGAAGAACATCCTACTCTTAACTAAGCACACAATGCAGAAGATCAACAGACATGAATAAAACCATGACAGAAGTAACTACGCAAATCAGGAAACGTGTATGTCTGTTTCTCTGGGTAATAGAAAGATGTGATATCATCCCATAAGATATAATTAAGAATCACCCCAAGATCAGTCAAGATTTAAGCAATTACCAAATGTTAATCACCTTTGGGAAAATGAAAATATGTGATAATTCTATTAGTAGGAATAATGAAAAAGGAAAAGAAAGTTAAATGCCAGTAGAAAATTCTATCAATATCCTACAGCAAAAGCTTCAATGAGCATTTGCTGTAAGTGAAATGTACCCCTATCTCTCTGCAAAAATGCTGATTAATTTGACTTTGCATTCGCAGCTCTGCAGGAATACAATTCACTCTGTAATTGGTTCAGACTTGTAATTCAGACTTCAAAGTAACAGAAGCATTTCCTCTGTAAGATATTTGTACCAATTTGGGCTTACTGAATTTATAAAATCTAAACAAAATGGCCTCTGTTGTCTGGATCCAATTTCTCCTCTAATCTAATATATACATTTTAAGAGGATCTGTAAGATCCCCCTCTACAGCATAATTGGGCAGAAGGCCCTTCTTTCTTGGTAACTTCCACACCTGGTGTTAATCTCTTGTAATAAATATTATAGTGACACAGGAGGTCTCCATTTCTGTATTCACATTATTTAGACTGTTTCTTACGAGTTGTGACAACCAGAAACATTAAGTTAATCATACAGTTTACAGCCATAGAGTAGTACTTACTTTTATTTGACTTTTCAGACATTCATGAAGGAGAAAACCTACTTGTGCAACAGCTTCCTTCACATTGGTAATAATACAAACTTGTTGTGATAGGTTGTCTGTGATCAAGAAAAAAACCCTTAGTATTTCATGCAAAGATAAGTCAATCAAAATTACTAATCTGCTAAACACTACCTTTGATCCATATACTGCTGTCTCTTGACAGAACCTTTTCAACAGCCGTAAATTTACTTTTAAGATGACTTATTTCAAGGCACAGTTAATATAACATAATTTATACAACACACATCTCAAATATAAAATTCATATTATATTTTATATGATTTTGTACAACGTGAAAACATCACATAAGGCCTGTCCCCAAAGCCCATTTAAATAAGGGACTTGTATGAAAAGGTACTTGTTCAGGTCCACATTACTGACACTAGACGACAACCAAGAAAATAGCTTTTTGAAAATTTCATACCACTTACCACTTCCAACAGATCACTAAATGCAGTGTCAGCAATACTGAGAAAAGCAAAAAAACCCAGGAGATAGCATAAATCCTCTTCCCAACAATATATACTACATAATAACCAAAAAAAAAAAGTATTGAAGATACTGTTCAGGGAGACAGCAGATATAACTGCTCACCTCGGTATCAAAAAAGTTGCAGAGTCAGTGACAAAGATCTTGGCATGGGGAACTTCTTAGATCTTTTACTGGTGGGGGAAAAAAATTTAATATTTTGTTGATACCAAGACAACAGTTTCAAGTTATTGCCTGATCTGCTCCATAAAGCAAGTATTTCAGAAAATTAGTATTTTCTTATTTTCTGTTGTTATTGACTACAGGTTCAAAATTCAGTGACCATTTTCCTTTCTTTAAGCAAACAGATCAAAATAATTCAACTCACTTCTAATAATTCAACTGGAACTCTCACTTGTAATTCAGGATTTTATCCTTTAGATGTTGAATTAATATGCAGACCAAAACATAAGATTTCTAATGTCTTTGGGGTAGCCATTCCATAAGCAGCTAGAAATTTCATAGATGTAAAGTCTAATTATGTTTAAAGTAGACTTCAATGAAATTTCAGGGACAGAAATACAGCAAACACCACCACAAAATAAATTAGTAGTGAAAGACATAAAAGAAATTATAAAAATATGGCCTAACTGCTCTTCAAACAAGTCTGAATATAAAGATGCATACTTGTCACATGTGTAAAGTTTTTTTTATAATTACATACCACATAAGTTCAATCAGATGCATTTCTTAAGTAAACATCTCACTTTCTATTGTGAACTCAAAGACTTCTTTACAAAAATAGACATAGAGACCTGAAAATTAATTTTAAAGCTGCTGCAGAGTTAACATTATTGGAAAATTACTTGTGACTTTTAAACAATTTTTTGTGAGCAGGAGAAGTGAATTAACCACTGAGGATTCCAAAAAGATAATTACAATGATTTTATGAATCATGGGCATTTATTATGTCCAATATTTATAACATGACAACAAAAATAGTGGTATCAGTTGGCTTTGTACTAAGTGAGCAAGAGTGGGGAGGGGGGAAGAAAGAGAACAATAAACATCTGCTTATAAACCATCACAACCAGATGAAAGCGAGAATTAAAAAAATGCATGGCCAGTTCTCACAGGACTGGAAATCACAGGATACCACAACTGTGGGAGAAATTATCTTCCCATAGATTCACTGGGCAAAAAAATACAGTGAACATGCATCAAAGTTGGCTTCTACTTAATACAGAATAACTTTATAGTCTAAAAAATGGGTCAATGGGAAACCATATTGAATTAATTTCTTATCAGCAGAAAGAAACCGGTGGGTAGATTGAAATCAGAGCAAGAGCCACTTGAATTTAGTACTGTACACGGAATGCAGATACAAGATAGATGAACATAATAAACAAGACTGGCATATCAGATTTCAAGAACGCAGATTCTATTGAACTAAGTAATTTAATGAAGAAAGTCAGACTGGAGCTATTGCAAAAATCCACATGTGGAAGAAGGCTGTGGAATCCAAAAAGGCACCATAACTTACGCTCAGACAGTTCTTCTTTTTAAAAAGAAGTCAGTTATCAACAGCAAGTGTCAAAAGTAACCTCACAAGAGGCTGCTCAAAGACTGCAACTACAAAAGCCCATCTCACTCCTCTCCCCAGCCCCCTTGAACCTCTAACTTCCTGTAATGTAAATGAGAAAGGAGAGACCGCTACCAAAAGAGCGACTCAGATTTGCAGGTTGAATTTAATAAAGAAGAAAGCAAAATTGAATGAAGCGTGAAAAAAATGTATTTTTAATCTGGAGGAGGAATGTAGTGTTATAGGGGGAAAGTCTATTAAAGTATGAAAAATTAAAGTAATGATAATACACACATTGAAAAGATGCTACATGCTTTTAAATGATTAAGAAAAATGAAGTCTGGGAAATTATTGTTTATAAAATCATCACAGCAAAGTAACAGTTCTGTTCTAGTTGAGGTTTAAAACTCAATTTCCATTTAAATCCCAACTGTTTCAAGTGGCCCAAAAGATCTATATGTTAATTTAGATTAATTAATTTAGATGGTCTGCACCTTTGCTGTATTGTGGGAAGGAAGGCTGAGTGAAGCCTTCCTCCCCAAGACTGGCTGTGTCCCACCTCTAGTAAGCCGATGGAGCTCTCTGTCACTCTGCTTAATCACACTGAACCCAGTGAATGCAGCTGGAGCACTGGCTCATAACTCCACGAATTTCGTGAGTTCTGCTGACTGCCAGTGAAGCCAACCGCGTCCAGCATTTCATTCCTGGTTTTCAGAAGTCTGTTTGGGTGAACGAAACAGTCATTTTGGAAAGCCATGTCACAAAGAATTTTAATAGTCAGCTAACAAAATTTTGTTTTTCATTGGACCACTGTATAATTCAGGCTTGAAGGGACCTCAGGAGATCTCTAGTCCCAACTCCTTCTCAAAGCAGGATCACCCATGAGGTCAGGCCTGGTCACTCAGCCCCTTACCCTCCTAGCACTTGAAAACCTTTGAGGACAGAGATTACAAAACCTCTCCAGGCAACCTGTTCACTGCTTAACTGTCCTCATGGTGAAAGAGTTTTTCCTTTTACTGAGTTGGAACGTCCCTTGGTTCAGTTTTTGTGTGTTACCTCTGGTCCTCCCACCATGCACCACTGTTCTACTTTTCTTCCCTACATTACCTGTCAAAATCTCTCTCTTGCTTTGGCTTCCTCTACTTTAAACTTACTTCCCTGGAAACCGCCTCTTCCCAATACACATCTCCCATTTACTCTTGGCTTCTTTCCAGCTGTACCTGATTATGGACTAACCCTCCCCATACTGCATCACATTTAACATCCACTCAGAGCACATTTTTGGCATAGAATTAAAAATAGTTAAAACTTTACACTGCCAAACTCTGTTAGGGTAAATGTTAAATTTTTCTATCAGGAAAGGGGTAGGAATTTTCTTCATTAAAGATAAATTTCATACAGGATTTCAGAATTTGTTCCATTAAACCCCCTCCTCTCTCCAGCAGAAAACTTAATTTTGAATTTTTCTGTGCCCTTTTTTGATATCCTGAAAGCTTTAGATCACAGTATTATGCAGTAACACCTGTTACAGTCTTTATCGTAGGATCTCACCCAGAATTATAAATTAAAATGTGTGCATGTTTATGGAACTACCTTAGTTAGATAATGTATTAAGTGTACTCTATCGAGTGACTTAAGTTTACCCTGAAAAGCATGCCACAAACAAGCAGCAATTAAAATAATACTTTGCTTGAATAAAGACCATAAATATCATATCCTAGGGAATTAATACCGTAAGAATAAAAATGCATCTGAATGGCAAATAGGTTTTAGCCTACAGACATAAATTTGTTCTCTTAATTGCACATATATGTGTATACATACACTTGTTTTTGTAAACATATGTTCATACCACGCCATTCTTCGTCTGTCATTACAAATCCTACTATTTTGGAAGAACATCCTATTCATCAAAATACTTTTGAAGTTTGCAGTGAATTCAAAATAATAAGTTAATTTATCAGAATTCCATTTTCACTTTCTACACAGCAATGGCTTGACTGGTCTGGAAATTCAGTATGGTTCTCCCTGGCATTTTTAGTATCTCATAACAGATGTTTCTACCACTGTAAACACAAGAATGAAGTAAGTACTGCCAAGCATTTAGTTCATTCATGCTTAACAGAATGAGTTGAAATTGTTATTCGTATAACATAGGTAACCAAAAAATCTAACAATTTTTTGTTTACCCATTCCACATTTCTCAGTAGTCACAAAAACCAAAAGCCAAATTTGACATTGCCCCTACCAATATTAGTATACAAGAAAGAGAGGAAGATTTTGTGGTAGAAGACAAGGAAGAGGGTTGTTTTCACCTGACAATAACTGAGTACCACCTCCCCATCTGCCAGTCTATTTCTTTGCCTTACAGCAGAGAGCAGCCACTAGTTAATGAGTGTGCCCATGAAAACACAGCCTACCTTGAGTAAGATATCTGTCCTTTGATAAACCCGGCTTATGTCAAATTTTTTTTTTTTTTTTTAATAAAAAGTCATGTGGGCTCTTCATATAACACAAAACATAGTATGTAGCTCCCAACAGTCAAACAGTTTGAAAGCATTACAGTATTCTTCTTGGTACTTGCAGAACACAATTGTATCTACATCAGCAGATACTTATTTAGCTAACTGTGCAGGCAAAATATCCAATCTGAAAGTGCACACTCTTGTGAAAAATTCATTGCAGAAGAAGGGCCCTTAAGAAAAAGGAGGAGGAGAGAGAGTCAAACTAAGTTACAAGCTTCTACTGAAAAGCACCATTTAAAGTTTACATGTTTGAACTAGAGTTCAAAGATATCTACCCTGAGGGCAGTAGTCCTAATGGAAATTTTTTAGGATGTTTTGTATTAGCCTGATCTTAACCACATTTCTAGATGAGTCACCCTTATTGTAAGACGATGTTTTCCTACTTCAAGACTATTAAAAAATAGGTGTGTGCCACCTTGTCTGCATACTCTACAAGTTCACACCTGTTTAACTAAAGAAAAGCATTAAATTTACTGTTTAT